CAGCTAATGCTAGGGTCGGGTGGAACCGTTTGGGTTTAGGGCTTGGGCCTTTTATGGTCCGATGCAATGCAAGCAGAAAGCCTTATTATAGGGTTCCGGATTTAAGCTTCGGCTACCTAGCCGGGTGTATATTTTCATGAGGCAGTAGGGTCCAATAAGAATGGATGGGCTCGATGTCCAAGTCGGCATGTCGTGTCTGTGACTTCCAAAAGCCAGTAGAATCTCCGATTCCCGTGTCCTCTTGATCAAGACCTCCTTGGGGTCTGGTCTGCACGGCTCGATGGGGTCGCACCGTCCGTGGCGGCTTCTGTTTTGGTCGCATCGCAACGGAAATGATGCTGGGCGTCTCACGTGCCACGGTTTTTCCGATCGCGATCCGTACATGTCGGACTCCTTCATTTGCCGCATATAGTACTCTGCCACACAAGCCACCATGTCGTGCATCCTCTGTGAAATGTAGCAGGTCAGAGGAAGTGCAAGCGGGTAGGAGCTGACAGTACCAGCTTTGGTTCGAAAACTCTGATCACTCGAGACCAATTTGGGGGTTCAGGGTTTAGGGTTTAGGCTAGGGTTTCGGGTTTAGGGTTTAGCTTTTTACGGTTTAGGGTTTAGGGTAGGGTTTAGGGTAGGGTTTAGCTTTAGGGTTCAAGGGTTTAGGGTTTAGCCTAGGGTTTCGGGTTTAGGGTTTAGCTTTTAAGGGTTTAGGTTTTTTAGGGTAGGGTTTAGGGTAGGTTAGGGTTTAGGTTTCGGGTTTAGGGTTTAGCTTTTAAGGGTTTAGGTTTTTTAGGGTAGGGTTTAGGGTAGGGTTTAGCTTTAGGGTTCAAGGGTTTAGGGTTTAGGCTAGGGTTTCGGGTTTAGGGTTCAGCTTTTTAGGGTTTAGGGTTTAGGGTAGGGTTTAGGGCAGGGTTTAGCTTTAGGGTTTGGGGTTTGGGGTACGGTAGGGTTTAGGGATTAGGGATTAGGCCTTAGGGTAAGGTTTGGCTTTAGGGTTTTGGGTTTAGGGTTCAGGGTTTAGGGTAGGGTTTACGGTTTAGGGTGTCCCAAAGCGAGGCAAGCAAAACGAGACCCCAACCTTGCACCCCAAACTCCCAGCCTCTCTTTGACCCCGAAGCCCTTAGAAGTATATGGAGACCGAGCCGAAACCCTAAACCCTAAAGCCTCAAACCCTATAAACCCTACACCCTAAACCTAAACCTAAACCCTACCCTAAACCCCTAAACCCCTAAACCCTGAACCTCAACCTAAACCCTATAGTTCACGGAGCGAAGAGTCAGCCGAATTCCAAGCCTCCATCCAATACACATATATAAATTTAATATTTATACATACATCCTCGGTTCCGAAAAGTGCACAGTATTCGCAGCCCAACCCTGACCCCATTCTAAAACCTACATATATATATAGTATGTACATTGCACTTGCTATTTTTATTTGCACCGGCCAAAAGCCAAAAGTCTGAACACTGCTCAATATTAACCCTAACCCGGTCAGAGGCACCTCCGGATGATCTGCCGAAAGAGGCAGCATTTTCGCTTTCCAGGGTAAGGGTTTAGGGTTTAAGGTTTCGGAGTTCTAGGGTTGAGGCAATAGTATATTCTGTATTAAATTAGGGTTTGGGGTTTAGGGTCTAGGGTTTGGGGTTTGGGGTTTAGGCAGGGCTTAGAGACAGGGCTTATAAGATTTCAGGGCGGGGCTTCGGTTTGGGGGAGGATACAGATACTTTCAAGCCTCGTTGGACCGTGTTGCAGGGACACTGCTTGCAGGAATTGGGTTTGGGATATAGGGTGAAGAAATCGAAGGGTTTATAACGGGGCTTAGGATTTCTGGTTCGGGCTAGACTAAATTGTGCAAGTAGACAACTTCAAACTAGAAACCCCATTGCACTAAGGACCCATATGACCTGAAACCCGAGGAAGCATGGAGACGATCTCCAAATGTATCTCCGAAACCCAGAAGGCTGATCCTGATCCCCGAATGCCGAATGCCTATACCTTTTGATTACCCGACCCTCCCAACCCTTGAGACTCCAAAAGCCTGAGCCCTAAAGTGCCCGAGACCTGAAGACTCTCAAGTGCAGTCTAAACTAGCACCGAAAACCCACAAGCCTGAAGCCCGAGACACACCGACTGCCCAATGTCCCTCCCAACCCTTGACACAAGAACACCCTAATAAGTCCGAAAGTGGCGAAGAACACTCAACGGTAAGACTTTACAGTGCACTCATCAGTGAACCCCATACCGCCTTAAGTAACCTTGTTAGGAAGCCCCCTTCCCTGTCCATTACAATCGTATCTGTTCTAAGCCTATAATCTCATGAATCAGGTAGTGCATCATGGCATTATAATTTGCGATGCCCGATCATGGAGTCGAAAGCCGATCGGCAGGGTGTCACGGCACTGCCGTCGTCGCCTAGAAGACCCTCGAGGACGTCGACACTGCAATCGCGAGAATCAACGTGGCCTTTGGCCCTGGGAAGCTCTGGTACTCTGATGACAACAGGAGTCTGTTCAGCATCAAGCTGACTGGGCCTCTCATCGGGGTCACCCACTGGGAAAAGAAGACACGAATCCCAGATGAAATCAACTGGACAACGGAGATGAAGAACGAGCACCAACGAGCACATGATGAAGGGCGAGCATCAGGGACATCATGAAGGGCGAGCATCAGGGAGATCATCATTCAGGGGTCCAGGGGCTGGGAGCTTCCATAGTAGCCCTTAGTATAGAACTAGGCCCAAACCCCACAGCCCTTTAATTTTAATCAAAGCCAGAGCCCTGGACCCCAAGGCCCCAAAGCCCTTAAGCCCAAACCCCTCAACCCTTAAAGCCCTACTTATAAGCCCTAAAAAGCCCAGTAAAGCCTTATATTGATCCCTTGGCCGATTGGACTGACAAGATGAAGCAGAAGGATTGGGGATTTTGGGTCTGCTGTTAAACCCCGAGGATGTAGCCTGATGCTGTTATGTGTATAGGGGGATTCAGTGAATGGACATAGGCTTGGAGCTTGAATAAGGCTTTGGGCTTGAGACATGTCGGGTTTCAATGATCAGTGTTAGGTACTGTTGGGGTTTTCCTCAGGGTGAACAAAGCTTCATATAGGGCAAAACCACTACACGAAGCTGGAGACCCAAACCCAAAATGCCCTAAACCCTTGTGAAGGCCCTAATACTTCGCCCAAACCCGATCCAAGGCTCCATCCAACCTCCGAACACCAAAACCGTAAAGCTAAACCCCAAATCCCTGAAGCACTAAAGGTTAAGCCTGTAAGGCCTCAAAACCCTAAGCCGAAATCCAGGCACAGCAGGACCCGCCTGCGACGTCTTCGACCCGAACTTGTAAACAAGCCTGAAGCCTAAACCCTCCAGAAGTCTCTGACCCATAGTGCCTCTGCAAAGTAGGCCATTGTATGGCTTATATACTAGCAGGTTTGGGTTTATAGGCAGGGTTCGGGAGCTTGGATAAATAAGCATCTTGGCTACATATTCTAATTGCACCATTGCTTGCAAAGCTTGGACCTTTGGCGCTTTGGAGCTCCGGCTGAGGGATTGGGGTTTTTCTTATAAGTCGGAGTCTAGGGTTTTAGGGTATAGGCCTTTCGGGCCTTGGGGTCGAGGGCTTTAGGCTTATAGGGCATTCAGGGTTTCCCTAAACCCTAAGCCCTCAAATATAAACCCTATAATTCAGGGATTTGGGGTTTAGGGCTTTTGGGCCTTGGGTTCTTGGCTACATAATAGCAAGACATTGGATCTTTGGCGCTTTGGAGCTGTGGGTTTGAGATTGGGATTATTTAATGCTCCGAGTGTAGGTTTTTAGGGTTAAGGCCTCTGGGGCCTTGCAATTGGGGTCCAGGGCTGTAGGCTTCTAGGGCATTTAGGGTTTCCCTAAACCCTAATTCTAAAACCCTGAACCTTAAACCCTAAATTAGGGCTAGAAAACTGAGGGATTTGGGCTTCAGGTGTTTTGGGCCTTGGGTTTTACCAGGGCTTTGAAGCTTGAGACCTTTGGGCTGGGGCTACATTCAGGCACCTTGTGCCTTCAACATAATAATTATATTTGTTGTGTGAGACTCAGGGTTGGGGCCTCGGGGACTTTGCAATGCAGCTTAACTGCAGGGTGGCTGAGACACGGTGCTACTCAGCTGCAGGGCACTTTGGGGAATAACTAGGGTTATAGGGTTCAAGGTTAAAGGTTTAGGGAAGCTTCGGCCTGAGATTTTCTCATAGGGTTCAGGGTTAAGGGTTTAGGGAAGCTTAGGCTTCAGATTTTCTCCGTGCCGCCGGCTCCCCACCTGCAGCTATGTACATGTCTTGCCATCGCCAGCATAATATAATAATCAGCCAATTGCAAGTTTAGCAGTCATCTCGGCAGGACAGCTCGGAAATAACTCCTTCCAGCGGGCTTGCAGGTCCTCGTCATTCTTGATTGGGGGGTCAAAGGTCCGATGGCATGCAAGAACCAAAGCAATCTCCCAAGCGAAGGCTGCTCCATATTTGCGAATACTGATGCCCGTGTTGTAATTGTTGTCCATCTGCATGGGGAAAGGATTATTATATAAATAATACAAATTTTCAAAAACCCCGAACCCCTGAACCCGTGAACCTCACAATCCTAAACCCCTAGACCTATACATTCCTTTACTTGCAATATAATAAAGGAAATCCCCCAATCTACAAGAAGCACCTTGAGGCCCAGGAAGGTGCGAACCAGCTTAGGGAGACCCCCGTCGGCACCCTTATTCACGAAGAAGTTCTTGGTAGCCCCGGCCAGAATGGATATAGAGGCACAACTCAAGCCGGGGGCTGGCACTGTGTAGCACCTCCAGGATTCAAACATCGAAGGAAATCCCAAAATTCAGCATCTCAAAACCCTGTATGCTCAAGCTGAAATGAATGGGTTTAGGTATAGGGGCTTTAGGGTTTTAGGGGTCTGGGGGTTTATGGTATAAACCCTAAACCCCTAAACCCTAGTTAGGGTTTAGGGTTTAAGGGTTTAGGGATTACACCTAATAAGTAGGGACAGAAACCCTTGCAAGGCACTTCTTCTGCTTCTGCAGATCGCTCGGCTTCTGCAGCCCGATTGCAAAAGCGGGCTCCAACATGTCCAACATGTCCTCCACGGTGTGGTCCTCCGAAAGGAATAAGAAAGTGCGGGGATGTTCAGTCTGGGACATTATTCGGGGAGATCATCGTCCTTGGAGAGCTTGGGCTTCTTTTCCATCGGATCCAGAGGCTTCGCTTCGGGCTCCTGGTTCTAGATCTCACTAAAGAATGCTTTCAGAGATAGCCTTGCTTGTTGGAAATGAAATCCTCGGGTGCCTCCATCTTCGGATCTGCTTGGTCCTGAAGCCGAACATGTATGAAATATACTTAGTGTTTATGCCTAGGGTTCAGGGTTTAGGGTCTAAGCTTTAGGGTTCGGTTTCGGGTTTAGGGCTTAGGGTTTAGGGTTTAGGGTATAGGTTTATTAGGGTTGAGGGCGGAGGCTTTAGCGTTTACGGTTCAGGGTTTCATCTTGGTCTCCATATACTTATAAGGGCTTCGGCTTCAGAGAGTGGCTCGGAGTTTGGGGTGCAAGGTTGGGGTCTGGTTGTGGTTGACTCGCTTTGGGTTTATCAACACCCGAAACCCTAAACCCCACCCTAAACCCTGAACCCTAAACCCTAAAGCTAAACCCTATCCTAAACCCTAAACCCTAAACCCTACCGTAAACCCTAAACCCCAAACCCTAAACCACTATAAAGCTAAACCCTACAAACACCTAATCCCTTAAATTCGGATGCTTGCCTCGGCCTTCCTTTTGTTGGCCGAACCTTTGGCCTTTGCCTTGGCTTTTGCCGCCTTCGCTTCACCTCAATATTCAACAAGACCCCCAAGAACACATATGCCTCCCGAGTTGCACAGCATCATCTAGGCACCCTACTCTTTGCTGCAACCCGTTTCTTGTTGTCGGCCCTGATCTCGGCTTTCAAAGCCGCCTGTGCCTGCAGAAGGCTTTCGGCATCCTCGGCGGGGAGACCCTGGAGCTGCTCTGCAATGCCCGGCGGAAGCACTGCCCCCTCTGGCAGCAATGGCCTGCTGTCCTGGGCACATTAGGGTTTGGCTTGTATTGATATATATATATATTTTTTTTGTTTTGTCATTATATGTCAATGCAAGCTTGAGGCCCTGTCCCTCAGGGCAGCCCCCACTTTCTCCAGCTTTCCCACCTGGCGGTTTAGGGGATTTAGGGTTTATAGGTTTAGGGCTTGGGGCTATAGAGGGTATAAGATCTAGAGTTTGATTGGATTTCGGAGTCCATGGGCAGGGCTGAGGATTCAGTTTAATTGCAATTGGTTAATCGGAATTCTTGTATACAAATATATGATCAAGTACAATTATACAATTATTATTAGATGGTTCACAGGATTTCATTTCAGCCGGGGGGGTTGTTTCTAGATCCTAAAGCAATGCAAAGCCGCACATTCGCAGAAAACCAGAAACCCTTAGCCCAATTACTACCATCAACCTGGCCTCTTCAAGCTTACTCGTAAACCGCCCAAACCCTAAACCCTAGAAGACAAGCTGGCCCCTAAAATTCAAGACCGACAAAAAGCGCCACAGCCCACACAATAGAGTAACTCCGGATAACTCCGGCGATAACTTCGGCACCCGGCCTCAACAGGGCACTCCTTGGACTTTCCCGAAGAGTCCTGGCAAAAATAGTGTAGTGTTAAAGGTCTGGGGTTTACTAGGCGACCAAAGGCAACAGAAGTCCTTGGCATCCGGCGTCGCCTCTTGGGAAGACTCCTGGGAATGAGCTTCGGGACAAATCTGAGTTCCAATGGAATAATCAAGAATGGCCAAAAAAGTCCTTTGCATGCGATGTCCCCGGCTGGAAAGACTCCTGGGAATCAGAGTAGACAGAAGTCTTCAATGAATCATGAAAGGGCCCAAAAGTCCTGTGCACTTGTTGTCCCAGGCGGGGAAGACCCCTCATGGGAAACAGAGTTGACAGAAGTCTTCAATGAATCATGAATGGAGCCAAAAGTCCTTTGCATCCGATGTCCCAGGCTGGGAAGACTCCTGGGAATCAGACTAGATCAGAAGTCTTCAAACAATCAAGAATGGCCCCAGGAGTCCTTTGCATGCGAGGTCATAGGCTGGGAAGTCTCCTGGGAATCAGCTTCGAAACAAGTCTAGCAACAATCAACAATGGCCCCAGAGGTCCTGTGTCTTCGTAGCCTTGCCAGCCTGCTGGGCACCGATAGGTTACCAGTATTTAATCCGTAACAACAAAAAACCCTAAACCGTCAACCCCTAATCTCAGGAGATCAATTTAGCTTATATAGGGTTTAGGGTGTGGGGGTTTAAGGTTTAGGGTTATATATATATATGATAATCTGCTTTAGGGTTTTCTAGCGGCCACTTGCCAAGGTATGCCCTCGATCCTGGCTACTACACAGCAGGCCTTCGGATCATCCTTGCCAGCTTCATCCTGTGGCGGCGATAATCTACAAATTTCAACAGTAATTTAAAGCATATCATGTAGCCTCAGACTCTTCAGCGGTCTCCTCGACAAAGAGGCCCTGCAACAATAATAGTTCTATGAAGATGCAACGACCAAACTGGGAAATCGCACCTCGTCGCTGTCGCCCGAATCCAAGTCTTTGGAAGCCTGCTCGTGGGATTTTTTTTGTGGTTGGTGACATTAACAGAAGAAAGCCTCGAAGCCCGGAAGAGTGGTGATCACATCCTTGAGAGCCTGCATCTCAGGTAGCCTCCCAGGCAGAATCCTTAACCCAATTATGGCATCAAGCCCTTGGCCTGTGTACCCCGTGCCTGGCATTTCGAGTCTTCCTCGAAAGGCGGATGGCGTACATCACCAGGGCTCGGCAGCGACCTCCTTCAGTGTTCGCCCAGTCCTGGCGGTAAAAGATGGAGATCGAGCCCAGGGCTCCCTAAGGGTTCGTATAATGCTGTCTAGTATCTGACAGCATCTTCTTGCTGGGCCTTTGCTTCAACTTCTTTCCCGAAACAGGAGCCGTGTAGAGACCCCGCTGATCGTTGAGAAGGGCGAAAGCCATCTGTCACACGATTTTCGCAAGTCGAAGGATATTTTATGATGGAGCTATGCACTTGAGCAGCTCAAGAGGGCCTCGAAAGTCTTCGGGTAAGGGATGGCGAGGCCGTACTTTGCCAAGAGGTGTAGGCAAAGTCTGAAGTTCATACAGACCTCGGTTCGAAGCAAAATGAATGATGTTGAGGACCACTTTCATAGAGCAGCTTCGAATGCAATGTGCTAAGCCAGTGGCATCAACTTCGTACACTTTGCCACAGCAAAGACTGTGCTCGGCAAGCTGAATGACTTGGGTGTCCTGGTATATCCACAAACCACATATGTGCAATCCTTGAAAGCTGAAAATCGCACCTCGTCCTCACGAACGGAGGTCCAATCGACTTTCATTTCCTCAAAAACATTCTCCAGCACGAGGTACAACTCTTTGGCCTGCTGTGCCTGCCGGTAAAGCTGAATTCGAGAAGCCTCCAACTGAATGAAGCAAACCCAAAAACCCCCCGCCTGCAACACCTTTGGCGAAAGCCCCTCCATGGGAGCTTCAAAACAGAGCTCGCCGCTCTGAGCACAAAATTTCTCTCGGCAAGTGCTGCTATGAAGCTTTAGGGGCTTTATAGATTCGGGCTTTAGGGTTTAGGGCGATGAAGGCACAATGCCTCCCTTTCACACCCCTAACCCCCCCCCGACCCTTAACCCCTAATCACTTCTGAGCCCCAGCGGGGGGGGTGGAAGCACCTGATGCTTTCCGCTTCCGGCTGCAGAGAGCTCGCTTCATAGTCGACCGCCATGACGGATGCTTTCTAGGGTTTTAGGGTGTTTCGGGCTCAGGCTGTTATATGTAAAAGGGTCGCCTTTGATTCGTAATCCAGGACGGATGCTTTCTAGGGTTTTATGGGTTTAGGGTGTTTCGGGCTCAGGCTGTTATGTAAAAGGGTCGCCAGGGATTCGTAATCCAGGACGGAAGCTTTCTAGGGTTTTATAAAGGGTTTCTCGGCCTCAGCCTGTTATGAAAAGGGTCGCTAGGGTTTCGTAAGTATTCACCGCTAGCTATATGCAAAATTTAGCTTATTACAACCAATATAACCTATTCAGGTTCCGATGTCCTGAGCAAAGCGCCATGACTATCTGATTGGATCCTGTGCACCATATATATAATACTATAAACTACACTACACCACTATATAATAATAATACTACTACTACTAC